TGTATATATATATATATATATATATATTACATTATTAGAATATTTTTATTCTTTGAACAGCATTTATTCAAAACAGAAATATATTAACTTACTGACCCCAAACTTGCTCTTTGTGCATGCGATCCTTAGATTAAAAATGGTTTAATTTATGTAAAAGTCATGGAACTGTGTTTTACATAGTTGTTTATTATTTTCCATCGCAGCTGATGTGCTATTCTGCCTCTGCAGCACATACTGTATACATCCTCTGTTTTGGCCTTATGGAACACCTGTCCTCACTTCAGGCATGAATGCTCGCTTAAGATGTGATTTACTGGGACAAGGTGACAGTTTCTGCTGAGGGCAGTTCAGGAAAAAGAGAAGGAACAGGCTACTGTACCTGTAACATGCAAGACTTTCTTGAAAATGCTCACCCGTCAAGAAAATGTAGCCAGCATAAAGTCACAGCGACAGGGTGAGGTGGGCTAATCAGAGTTCACAACCAGCAGCTTGCAGCAGCCATGATACCGACAAAGTCTTTTGACAACATTTCATTTCTCTGAACGTTAACTAATAATAATAATAATGATAATAATAATAATTATTATTATTATTATTATTATTATTATTATTATTATTGTGAATATGCATTAATTCATCTCACTCACAAGAAAAAAACACAGATTCAGTATTCCTCAAAATGAATAAAAATAATGCAACTCAGAATATGACGCAAACCTTAAATGTTAAACAACACGAATATCCTTTATGTATTTAATCCCATTCTATTAACCAATGTCATTGCTTCTGACCTTCGATGATCCCTGACCCCAAACTTGCTCTTTGTGCATGCGATCCTTAGATTAAAAATGGTTTAATTTATGTAAAAGTCATGGAACTGTGTTTTACATAGTTGTTTATTATTTTCCATCGCAGCTGATGTGCTATTCTGCCTCTGCAGCACATACTGTATACATCCTCTGTTTTGGCCTTATGGAACACCTGTCCTCACTTCAGGCATGAATGCTCGCTTAAGATGTGATTTACTGGGACAAGGTGACAGTTTCTGCTGAGGGCAGTTCAGGAAAAAGAGAAGGAACAGGCTACTGTACCTGTAACATGCAAGACTTTCTTGAAAATGCTCACCCGTCAAGAAAATGTAGCCAGCATAAAGTCACAGCGACAGGGTGAGGTGGGCTAATCAGAGTTCACAACCAGCAGCTTGCAGCAGCCATGATACCGACAAAGTCTTTTGACAACATTTCATTTCTCTGAACGTTAACACACCAGCTACATCGCACTAATTTTACAAAACATGAACAGCTACATTGTTTCTTGTCATTTAACCTTTATAGCTGAAGCCTGGGGGATTTGCTATAAGGAACAAGCTCTTATGAAAACCAAAGCTGTTTACTTCTGATTCGTTTTTAGGATGGAGATTCACATTTTTAGATATTGTAGCTGTGCTTTTCACAAGATGACTGCAAAATGATGTTGTTATAAGATATACTTTAATATGATGAAAAGTATTAAAAATGCAAAATTTTTTGCATCTTGTGTATTTTTTTTGTATTTATTTTAGTATCACATTATTGCATTAGAAACATGAACAGCTACATTGTTTCTTGTCATTTAACCTTTATAGCTGAAGCCTGGGGGATTTGCTATAAGGAACAAGCTCTTATGAAAACCAAAGCTGTTTACTTCTGATTCGTTTTTTTGGATGGAGATTCACATTTTTAGATATTGTAGCTGTGCTTTTCACAAGATGACTGCAAAATGATGTTGTTATAAGATATACTTTTATATGATTCAATGCTGAAAAGTATTAAAAATGCACAATTTTTTGCATCTTGTGTATTTTTTTTGTACTTATTTTAGTATCACATTATTGCATTAGAAGTGTGAAAAAAGTCAGAGTGATGGAGTAGCCATCAGGAAGTTATAAATCTCAGTTGACCAGAAGAGGAAAGTAATGTTACAGTAGGTCAGAAGGTACGATGTGAAAGCACTTCTCTACCTCCTGAAATCATTTCAGATGAATGTTCAAGCTCAACACTCTCTGCACAGAGAAAAAGCATATTATTTGGAGCCCTGAGGGGGATTCGGCTCTCAGCTGTAGTGTTATGTCCCTGTCGAACTAGACTGCAGAGTGCACTAAACACTGGATAGTTTGTTCACTATGAAAAATCATGCAAGATCTCCTTGTGATGCACAATATCATTTGCGATGAAGGATGCAGTGGTTACGCTCAATCAATAACGCAACATTATAATGATACAAGAACCCTTCCTGTGGAGCTCTTGGGCTGTTAACAAAGTCACCAAACAATCAATAGCTCTGTGCTAGTTTGTAAGGAAATTCAAATTGTGATTTTGGGGTATTATTTAGACATAAAGCTTAATAAAAAGGAAAATGTGTAGTTAAAGTAATCTTTTAAAAGGAAAATGCTTCCCTTGCCGCTTGCCATGCCTAATCAAACTCTCTAATAAATATAATTTTCTAACCTTTTTATTTATTATAATTATAATATATAATTACTTAGATATAATTATTTTAGATATCATTTGATACATATTTTATATGATTTTAAATAATATATATATATATATATATTTATATATATAATGTGACATAATATGACAGAACAGCTTCCTTTGCTGCTTAATATACTTAAATATAATTATAATTAAATTTAAATATAACATATAATAAATTTAAAAAAAACAGGAAAAAAATTAAATATATCAAAAAGTTAAATAAGTGCAAAAAATGATTTGGCATGAACGCCTTAAAATGTCTTTTTTTTTCTTTACTCAGATAACACTGCCGGTGTGGTGACTCTGCGTGGCGGCTTCAAACGGCGCTCTCAGGAGATCTACCATCTTCCAGTTTTGATTGAGGACGGTGGCCTCCAGACTTTGAGCAGCACCAGCACCCTCACCATCCGCGTGTGCGGCTGTGACACCGATGGATCTTTATTAACGTGCAGCGCTGAAGCCATTTTCCTCCATGTGGGCCTCAGTACCGGAGCCCTGATCGCTATTCTGGTGTGCATCGTCATACTGCTGGGTAAGCAAACATTCATCCATCAGAGAGTTAGACAGAGAGAGAGAGAGAGATGCCTGTCCAGACTCCATATACCAGATGTAATCCTAACTCTGTTTGCGTCTGAATCACATCATCCAACAAACTTTTTATTAAATGGCTATTTTTGGAATGGAACACTAAATACTAAATAAACTAAATACTGTACACAGTTTTTATTTATTTACTGATTGACTGATTGATTGATTGATTGATTGATTGCAATTTGAACCCAATTTGGTGCAAAGATCATTTCACTGTATGTGATTCATTCAGTTTTTCCATGTTGAGTGCATTGCATTATGGGATAAAGTGTTCTGTACATTCTGTACAGTGTGCTGTGTTACATCACGCTCATTTTGACACATGTAGTGCTGGAGGTCATCTGGGTTTTCTGCGCATACAGAGAATCTGCATACTGTGCACAGAATACATACTAATAGAAGTAATGTAATATGCTATTCCGAACATCATTATTTTGCGATTATAGTAGTTCTGAAATTACACACCTACCTTGAACTTAGTCATGAAACACATTCGCAATTGATTTTATTTCTATTACATGACATATTTTAAAGTGAAAACATATAATAATGGAAAAAATAATATTGATTGGATAATGAAAAGTGCAAGAATGAGTCATTTGGTTTGAGGGAAAGGTTTGAGAAATAAGTGCATTTTGTTCTTCAGTCAAAAAGCAAAGTATGGTAGCTGGTTTCTGCCATGGAATAAACAAATACATAAATAAATACATTTGAAAAAGTATATGCAACTTTTTATCTCATAATTCTCTTTTTTTCCCTCAGAATTACGCGTTTATATCTCACATTTGTAAGCTATAAATTCATAATTGTGAGTTTACATATCACAGTTTTTTGTCTCAGAATCCTGTGTTTATATTCCATAATTTTGACACTTTTTAGGAATTTAGGAGTTCATATCTTGCAATTCTGACTTTTTTTCTTCTTTTTCTTTTTTTTATTAATTTGTTTTCCTCATAGAATTCTGAGGTTATATCTTGTAGTTCTGATTTTTTTTTTTATTCTATGTTTACATCTCACACTTCTGATATTTTTTCCTCTCAGAATTCTGTTCATATTGTCATATTGCATTTCTGAATTTTTCCTCTGAATTTTGAGTTTACATCTCACAATTCTGACTTTTTTTTTTCTCGAATTCTGAGTTCTCTTTTTTTTTTTCCACCACTAAATAAAAATAAAAAAGGAAACTGTGACTTTTTATGTTTTGAGAAACAAAGTCAGAATTATGGGTTTATATCTTGCAATTGTACGTTTCTGAGAGAACTGCGAAAAAAAATCTGAATTGTGAGGAAAAAAAATATTTATTTATTTGTTTCTTTTTTGTTAGAACTCGTCTTCTTCATCCTAGCGTGTATCCTGCCATGGTGCAGGGTCTGCTTGTTTGCATGCCTTTTGCCACTTAGCTTGGTCTAGGGCATCATCAGGGATTTTTTGGTAGAACTGAATGTGCATTTATAACATATATATTTCAATTCTGATTTCATGAATAATTTGTTTCTGCTAGCTTTAGGCTGTTTTTGGACTGCATGGATGCATGCTTTTTTAGATGGAATATACATAGGCCGCTCTGAAACTCTCTGGGGTGGTTTAATTAAAATACACTTGTTAATTAAGTGCCTGTTTATTGGCCGTTCTAGACAGGTAAGGAGGAGGATAGCTGGATTAAGCAAATAAGCACGAGTTTAAACGAGCCTAGTCTTCGCCCATCAACGTCATAGTAAAAGCCCTAAATCTCTGAGTGCCATTAACATCAGATCGCAGGCTGAATTACTCTCCATGTTAACTTAACCCCCGAGGTCTAGACGGGGAAATCTCTGGAGTTATAAACCCAGCTCATTTGCATACGGGATGTGCGGGAGGTTGAGGTGGAGGGGTGCGGAATGAAGCGGAGACTTTTATGGCCTCGTTTCCATGGTAATTTGTGTGGGCTGGCTGGTCATTAAGTAAGAGCATGCTCAACAAAATGAGGTTAGCACTCGGCTGTCCTCGAATGAACCTCAGACACAGATCTCATCATGCAGTACACTGCAGAATGTATGTCTCAAATGATGTGTATGTCCACCAGATTGACACTTTAGATGAAAGCATACATGAAAATTTCGTGAAGCAGATCATCTGTGAACCAGAGCAGAAAGCGGACAAAGGTCAAAGCTTTGACCTTTCAGTATACCAGAGGTCATCTATATTCTTTTATACATATATAATTCAAAATTGTTCATATACTACTGGTCAAAAGTATGGAATAAAATATGTTTAATAAGTATTTTTGAAAGAAGTCTCTTTAATAATTTATTATAAAATTTAATAATTTATTATGAAATAAAATTTAATAATTTTATTTGATTAAAGGGGTGATATGACGTTGTTAAAAAACAGTCCTCGTCCTCCGTAAAATGCGTTGCACACACACGAATATGTGGGTTAAACTGTTCTGGAATGGTGCTGTAAATACAACTTAACCACTGATTTCTAGTTGTGTCCTTTTTTGGACGGCAGCAGCAACAATAAAGTTACGCCTTCTTTCTTTGCGTGAACATTTGGGCGGCGTTATGCAAATCTTCCCACACAGTGACATGTGGGGGCGTGTTAGAACAAGGCGTTTTAGGAGGGCGTGGACGAGTCTAAACTTTTATAAAGAATATCTCTTTGGATTTGAGACTTTAGTCTTTGCAACTTTAGGGATCTTATCTATTGACGAACAGCTTGTAACACTCCAAAGAGAAAGGGAAACTTGAAATCGCATCATATGACCCCTTTAAATTATTTCAGTATCTTTTCAAATGTAATTTATTCCTGTGATGGAAAGCTGAATTTTCAGCATCATTACTCCATAATATGCTGATTTGCTGCTCAAGAAACATTTCTTATTATTATCAACACTGAAAACAGTTGTGCTGCTTAATATTTTTGTAGAAACAGTTATTATTTTCAGGATTCTTTGATGATGCTTTGTTAAAAAGAACAGCGTTTATTTGAAATAAAAATCTTTTGTAACATCATAAATGTTGCCGTGTTTATTGTCATGTTTGGCAGGTTTAATGCATATTTGCTGAATAAAATAAAATAAATAAATAAATAAATAACTGACCTCAAACTTTTGAACCATAATTATTATATTATATTATATTATATTATATTATGTTATGTTATATTATATTATACTGTATTATATTATATTAAAAATAAATAAATAATAAATCCTCTCCTAAAGTACGATGTAACTTAATCCTCCACATTAATTTTTTGCATTAATGAAACTTCTGCTTACTTCTGTTCTTGTTGTGGTAATCATGTCTCGTCTTATTTCTCAAATAATATTTTGCCTTCTTATTCACTCAAGTTTACCCATTTTGTGATGTTAATGAGCTCTAACGTTTTGATTTGTTTAGATTTGACTATTTTCATTCCCATACCTTCGCTGCTGTTTCAGGTTAGCATTCTGTCCACTTCCTCCATCAAATTTCAGCTCATTTCCTTTGTTTATCCCTCAGCATTACACCTACGGTGAACAGTAGGCTGGCTCCTTTTTTTTTCAAAGAAGAGCAAATTAAGTTGAATCACAAAAGAAAAGGGTCAGACTGAGACCTCGAATGCAATTTAGGCCTCCCTGCAGTAGCCATTATGGTTGAAAGAAAACAGAAATGCATTACATTAACAAAAGGAGATATTTTGGAAGACAATTATTCACCCATAGCAAAGCTGATGAGTTATTTTTGACAATGGCCATGTTAAAGTCAATATAAAATTAAAATAGACTCGTATTTGTTTCTTATTTATGTTCCTAATCTACGCCATAATTCACAAGCACACACTATTTCAATTCTTTATTTAAAAAAAAAGGTTGTCTTCAAACTATCTGTCTGCAGTATATATCTACCTAAATTGCTGGCTTTTTCTCACAATTCTGCCTTCCTTTTCTCGCAATTGTGAGAAAATGAATCAAAATCTCAGAATTGCGAGATATAAACTCAAAAAAAGTTTATATAACTGTGAGATAAAATATCACAGCTTTTTTTCTTTTGTATTTTTTATTCCGCGGTGGGAAATAAATAAATAAACAAATAAATAAATACAAATTATTGTGAAAAAAAAAGTCAAAATTGTGAGTTTAATCTTGCAATTCTGACTTTTTTTCTCAGAATTGCGAGTTTATGTCTCGCATTTCTATGTTTATATCTCACAATTCTGATTCTTTTTTCTCTGAATTGTGAGAAACAAAGTCCAGATTGAGAGATAAAAAGTTGTAATTAGTACCCAGTCATAATATATATATATATATATATATATATATATATCATCACTATGATTGATAATGTGTCAGTTTGAGCAATGTGGAAAAATAGACGATGTCTTTCAAAGAAACTAAAAGAGTGTAAGTATGTAAAGGAGCAGGAGTGTTACTGTGTGACTGACGCCTCCTCCAGTATATATATATATATTCTTCCGTTACGTGAGAGACTTCTGCAGTGCTCTGAAGACTGACCTGTCTCTCAGCTCCTGTTCCTGCGAGACTCCGGCAAGCACCTCTCACAGCATCACTGCGTCCTTGCTAAAGGTGCCAGCCAGGATCACAGACAGCACAGAAAGAGAACACAATGTCGCGCTGGAGATTAGCCATTATCGGTGCTCCATTTGTCAGACTGACCCATTTCCCGCTCCACGGATGCAGTCATGGCAGACAGAGCGAGAGATCAGCGTCCCGAGAATGAGGCCTTATCAATCTCAAACCCATCTTCTGCGTATGCCAGTCAAATCACAAACATGGACTCACAAAATAGACTACATGTCTGACAGGTTTGAATGCTTGAGAGCTGCAGTGCAGATATCTGTCACTTGGGGGCGCTGTCATCTCACAGACACTGGTCAGACTGTTGGAGCATATATAAACAACCTTGCTGTTTTTTTGTTTTTTTTTAGCAGTTTCCTCTGATTTGCTGCATACTAATAAACATATACAGGTGTATGGACTTGAGAACCCCCTGAATCTATAACAAACACTCTGCAATCTGCATCTACACTACAGTAGAGTTCTACACGGAGGACCCGAGACCCAGGGACCCGGGACCCGACCCTGGATCCGTACAGGTTCGGGGCTATATTTTAAATGGTCAACCGGGTCCGGGTCGGGTCCCAATCTATTACTTCGGGTCCCGGGTCTGTTTAACATTGTGTGTAATACCCGAGTCGATCGGACTCGGAGAACACCCGGCCGTTATCAGAGTCAGTCAGCGCTGTGCGTGTGTTGTTTTGTAACTTTCAACTTGTAAAATTAGGATGAGAAAAGTGTGAGTTCGTAATTTGAAATAAGGTGGAAAAAAAAACCCGAGCGACGTCATCAGAAGCAGGGTGGGCGGAGTTAATGCACACGCACGGTGATAATGGATACCTTCATGAGTGATGTGAGTTATTATTGATTATTTTTTTTAAATAATATTATGAATGAACCGTCTTGTTGTTATATCTAAAATTTTTGCTCAGACTCGGCTCAGAGAGCACAGAGATGATAGCAAATAAGTAAAGCTAACGTCAGCAGCCATGGCACTGCCAACTTTCAAAATAATAGACGGGTCCGGGTCGGTTCAGTGTAGCACATTTACGGGTCTCTTCGGGTTCGGGTGCGAATTTTTGGACCCGTGTAGACCTCTACACTACAGCACAGTGTGAGACACAGTATCTATGTGTTGATCATGGCTCTGTTCCAAAACCTAGTTAACTACTGCATTCTAGATCTATCTATCTATCTATCTATCTATAATTCTCTCGTTCTGTCTATCTATCTATCTATCTATCTATCTATAATTCTCTTGTTCTATCTATCTATATATCTATATATCTATCTATCATTCTATAATTCTCTTGTTCTATCTATCTATCTATCTATCTATCTATAATTATCTTGTTCTGTCTATCTGTCTGTCTATCTATCTATCTATCATTATATAATTATCTTGTTCTATCTATCTATCTATCTTATCTATCTATCATTCTGTCATTCTATAATTCTCTTGTTCTGTCTATCTGTCTGTCTATCTATCTATCTATCTATCTATCTATCTATCTATTTATC